CCGCACTCATTGGATACTATTTAGACATGGGACGAACACTATTGTGTTCAAGACAATCTCTACATTTTGTAGATATGCCAAATGAGTAAATTTAGACACTTTCCATAAATAGCATTTAGGATTGGAATGAGACTAACACAAAGGGCATGATAGCAAGGGTGTTTAGCAGACACGGTAAATTATTATTCAATGATATTAAGAGACCAAGCTTAATATTGCGGGGGTTCCCAACACTAGCAAGTGTAAGTTAACATCATGAGTTTCTCATCACCGTATCAAGTTTTCTTGACTAAATGACAATTTAGGATTTCCTTCCTTAGTGCCCTTCCGGTCCAAGTGCACATGTGCTAACCAATTTCTCAACTAGCTTAGGTGGAGACTGATAAAGGATCTAACAATGCCAACCTCTTGCCATCATAGCAGTAAGAAAAGAATGTCCATAAGGACTAGTTGACAAGTAACTTTCGATACTCAAAGTCACATTCGTGACAAATTGCTCAACTATAACCATATAGCATCAAGTAATTGCACTAACTGTTACTTCAAAGTAAAAAAAGGAGGAGGTTGTTACTTTGTCATAAAGATGAACAAAAAAGAAAAAGTAAAAGAGAAGAAATTAAAAAAGGTACAAAGAAAGTGAAATCTAAATGATGCAAAAACTAAATCTAAACCAAAAGCACAAATCCAAACATTTCTCATGGATAATCAAAGATGCCCCTCACATCCATCAATGTGAGTGCATGGAATATAGAACTGCAATATAAATATGAAATATATAAATTAGAAATATTAATTTATATACAGGAGTAAATGGTCCAGACTGAAACCAATCCAACAGCTATCAAAATCCCACTATGCTAATATTAACATATGACATTGTAGTTGTACACTTGGACTTTACAGTGTGAAATTTATATTAAAAGTTAATTTTTAAACTTTTAAAATATTTGATCTCTTCAACATTTTTAATTAGTATAAGGAGTAATAATTTAATGGCAAAATATATATTTAAAAAATATAATGCCATAAAAGCTTAGGCTTGACATTTTTATGATTGTATAAGTTAGTTAAACTTGAAATATTCTTAGAAAAATACTAAGATCCTCCTATAAGTACTATAATTATTGCTACACTTTAAATTCCTTATTCATAAAAACTAAAACCATCTTGTTTTGTTTATAAACAATTGTTCTTGATAGGTTTATGTATCCATTTAATTTATAATAACAGCAAAGAGAAAAATATAGTAATTTCATCCTATCCACAAATTTATGCTTAAATATGTAATCATTTAACTTTAGAACATTATGGTTTTCAAAATCTTCCAGATATCTATTTTTATTTATTTAATTGTTTTAAATAAGCCAACTGAGGATTCAATGTTTATATTGATGACCTTTTAGCTCATGGATATATAGATTTCTATATATATATAAGTGGAAATACACTTGAGAAGAGGAAATCTTTCTGATATATAATTATTTTTTGCATGTAATCTAATGGTTTACACTCACCATATAACTATAGCTCAAAACTTGTGATTTTTCATGAATATAATAAAAATTGTAACTAAATAATCTATTATTCTTTTATATACTAACTCCTTTAGCAGAGTTAGGATCCCAGCTAGTAGATAGAACTAAATAAGTTAAATATATTTTTGAAGGTATATTCTAGAATATTTGAGTTTGTAAAGCATTCTCCAAAAATCATATTATATCAAATGAAATTATTTGTAAATAGTAAGTGACTTGAAAGATGATCTATAAAATAGAAGGAAAGAGCTTATAAATAAAAGTGCACTCTTTTTTTATAATCAGTTAAAAGTTTTTGGGTTCTTTAGATTTTTGATACCACATTTAACCTAATACTACTTAACGGTTTTGGGTTTCAAATTTAGATAGCATGCTTACGAAAAAACACATATTAAATGCTCTAAATTTGAAATAACACATACTCCATGCTTGCTTAACAAGTTTCAAGGGGGTATTTAGAACCATGCGTTACATTTAGCTTTGAGCACTAATGAGGATGTTACTTGAAAATTAGAGCTATAGCAGTATAATTTGGAGTGGCTAAAGAATTCACATAGCCTCATTATAGTAATAAGCCCACCAAACGTTCTCCTTGACTTGTTATAGTAGTAGGCTTGCCAAATGTTCTCCTTTGCGCTCATTTCTTGAAGCATATGATGTGGTGTGGGATCTGATAGGAACATTTTCTTTACTCACTAATATGCCACAACTAAATAGCCATGGAACATGTCTAAATCCACCACTAGGTTCTGCAAGAGATTTGCCACTCAATATGGCATTTTTTTCATGTCATATAACCTTTTTGGTCATGACATTAAAACCAATGCCAAAAATTATTCAGAAGAGTCAAAGAATATGAAACTTCCAGAACTTCAAAAAAGTACTAAACGACCGATGGCACTCACGTCAGGGAGCCGTATCCCACACTGACACACAAATCTCCATGACTTCTATTGTCTTGCTTGACAAGGTTAATTGACTTGGTGAAGATGGAAATGGCGCAAGAACTGCTGGACGGACCGCTGCACAAGATCAAAGAAACCAGTAAGTATGATTTCCTCTTCAACACCCATCAGTGCCAGTACCTGCAAAGCCGATGCTCCGTGGTCGAAGAATACGTGCGGCTTTGGCAGAGCTGCTCTGAACTTGAGCAACTTCCCCTGGCCATGGAAGAGCTCCGTTGTATGCTAAGCAGAGCCTTGCAGCTTCTCAAGCAGTGCCAGCACGAGGAATGGCTGTACCATGCTGCAGTCCGGCTCACTGATTCCAGAGCCTTTGCGGAGATCTGCCTGAGTCTGAGTAGATTGACGGCCTTGGTCAATGCTCACGTGATGCATTGTGCCACGGATATTGGGAGCCCGGATGTGCAGTACCTCATGGCCATGCCTTACAAGCGCAAGCACATAGAGAACCTGCGTTCAGCGATGGAGGACCTGAGTCCCTGCGCATCAAGAGATAGAAAGGAGCTCTTCATGAGAGCAAATTCCATCACAGAAACTGACAACAGGTATGTTCTGGCACAGTACCTTGTTAAAAAGCTGATGTCAAGCAGAGGAGGAGCCGTTGCCACCATTCAGGCCCTCGAACTGAAAACTTTGATAGGTGCGGGTGCATTTGGTTCTGTGTACAAAGCTGAATGGGTAGGGGCACCAGTTGCTGTGAAAGAGTTTAGAAGCGGTGATGCTTCAGTTGACAAGGAGGTGAACATCCTGAAAGAACTTATTTTAGAACCGCACCCGAGCGTGCTCCAGATGATAGGATACTATCAGAAGGATGAGAAGGCTTACCTTGTCATGGAGCTGATGGAAAGGGACCTGACCAGTGTTATAAGGAAGGCTGAAGGCTCGCTGCAACTTTTAACTTCTGTAGACATTATGCTCCAGATCGCAAGCGGCATGAGCTACCTCCATCAAAGGAATGTGGTTCATCGAGACCTCAAGCCTTCGAATGTCCTCGTTAAGACATTAAAGAACCATGCCTGCATCACCTGTTTCGACGTGAGGTTAACAGACTTCGGAGTCTCAAAGTCGAACTTTATAAGCTTTGCACCGGACTTGTCTTACCAGAGGGGGACGATCCAATACATGGCTCCAGAGATGCTGAGGGGCCAGAAGTACTCCAGAGAGGTTGACGCATACAGCTTCGGAATTACTTGCTTCCAGATCTTGACTGGAACGCTGCCATTTCAGGACGATGGCAAGCAGCTGGTGGCAGATAAACTGGTCGAGACGATCGAAGATGGAAATAGGCCTGACCTTCCAACAGGCTGTCCACTGGAGCTGGTTGCTCTCCTCAACAGGTGCTGGAACAGGAATCCGAAAGATAGACCAACCTTCGAACATATATCCAGGATGCTGTGGTCGCTAAAAGAAAGGTTGCTTGGTGGCCACAACCTCGAATCCAGCTTCACAGGCAGTGAGATGTCCAGTTGCAACGCTGCGGAAGAGCTCACACTCGCTGCAGGAGATATGATCTGCCAGATTTCAGTTGCTGCTCCGTTCACAAATTTTCATCAGTGCTACTTCTTGCAGTCGCGGTGCAAGCAGATTTCCAGCTACCGCGAATTTCCGAATAAGCTGCACCTTCGTTCATGGTTTGCCGTTCAGATAAAGCTGGTGACTACCTTGAGAACTGCGTTGTCGCTGATAGAATCTTACAGTGAAGAGAGGTGGCTGCATACGGCGGTGCTGAAAGAGCATAACCCGAGGGCATTCAGAAAAGCTCTTGATGATATCAACAGATGTGAAACCACACTGAGAGCCATAAACCCTGGTAACCACAGCAATAACATAATGACGTTCCCTGCTGTTCCTGAGCAATATGTGGAAGATGATAAAAAGAGACTGGCAGAAAGCATTAAAGGCTTACTCGATGCATCGGACGGGGCGACAGTTAAGTTGGCAAAATATTTTGTTCAAAAGTCAGCTGCTGATTCGATTTTTCCGTGCATCAGTCCAGAGGAAATCGTACTGCTCGATTTGGTAGGAATGTCAAACCATGGGACGATGTTTAGAGGAAGATGGCTGGACGTACCTGTGATGGTGAAAGCCCTTGGAACAGGAAATGAAGCTGAAAAGCTCCTGAAGGAGCTTGACAAAGGGCACGCAGAACTTAGAAACAGGCCCCATCCAAATGTAACGCAAGTTATCGGCTACACAAGGCACGGGGAAGACCTGTTTGTGGTGACCGAGCAGGTCTCTGGAGGCCACTTCCGAGTGACAAAGTTCCCTCTTGTATTGACCATCGAGATCCTGCTTCAAGTTGCTCAAGGCGTGGCCTACTTGCACCAGCATAACTGCGAGCTCTCGGACTTGAATACGCTGCTGGTGGAATTTGAGAAAGGCCACTTCGACGAATTCACCGGTGGCATCACTGTCAAAGTTTCAGCTCGATCCAACTTCAGAAAACAAGATGGACAAAATAGCTTGAGTACCTTGGCTGGAAGGCTGAAGTATCCGTTCCACTTCCCCCATGCACCAGCGGCGGACTTCAGGAAGACCGATGCGTACAACTTTGGTATAGCCTGCGTAGAAATGATCACCGGGCAAACCATCGGGGAAGAAATACTGCTCTCTGGAAAACTACCGCAACTCCCTCACGATTGCACGGGAATCAAGGCTGTGATAGAGAAATGCCTGAGTTCGCAGCCTCCTGACTTCCATCAAATCGTGGAACTCCTGCAATCAGCTCAACTTAGAATGGAGTTTCCACCTACAAGCGACATAGACTACCGACGGATGCTTCTGGACTCCAGCGCTCAAATTGAACTCAAGCTCGACATAACGGGAGACGCAGTAATTGGTGGCAAGCTCATTGCTGTTGGAAACGTAGAAAATGTGGGTAACAGGCTCTACCAGTGGATCCGTCAGCACAAAGATGGAACTATAGAGCGGTTGCGGCCATTTCTCGTGACGGAGTTGGACTCTGGGACACTGGAGTATGATCTAACAGCCGACGACTTCAACAAGGCGATCTCACTCACTTACGTGGATATGAACGAAAAGATCGAAGTTTCCGGCAGAGAAACCACGAACAGTCGATGGGTTTCCTATAGTGACACTATGAAGCGGGCGCTAAAGATGATATGGGGTGCTGGCGAGGCCAAGTTCAGGGTTTTGCAGCTAAGGGAAGAAGAAGGGAGCAAGAAGAGCTACCTGGTGATTAGAAGGCCACATTGCATGCTGGAGTGGAAGCGCTACTACTTGAAAAAGATGGAGATCAAGATCGCGTTCACCTCCCCGGTGGCCGGCATCAAAATATCCAAGGAGAATCCACAAATTTGCCAGCTGATCGATAACGGTGGCGCGGAGGCCTGCAAGATCCGATTCAAGAATGCGTTTGAGAGAGATTTGGCAGTGCTTACCTTCCGGCATTTCTTGCACAGTGCCTGTGAGAAGGGGAAGTGCTCGCGACGATGATGACACCCAAAATGCTGTGAGTCAACGGCACATAGCTGAAACCATTGGTGATTTCTTAGTAACAATGAAGAACCCCATATTTACATAAGGGAAACGACTGCAAAGTTTAGAACTTGCAACCTTTAGTAACGCAGGTGGAAGGTGTAGTGTCACGAGCTTCTTAGTCTCAGGATGGGTAGTTCTAAAAATTATTTTCTTCGTTATGGGCAGCAGAAGACCTGAAATGATGGATGCATCAGTTTGGACCTAGCAAATAAGTCTTCTTTGGTTTGAATGGGGTGAAGCAGAAATATTATAATTAGTTTCCTTTCTAAGGGTGGGAGTTACTTTTGACCACATTTTTAAGGGGCCTAGCAATGTGAGGTGGTGCAAATAACTTTTCTGAAGGAAGTGGAGGAGAAGAAAATTTAATTTGGCACTGAAGTTATTAGAGCTAAAAAGACAAGTGGTGGAACTTATAAGAATATTCTTGGAATTGAAGAATTATTATTGCAATTGGGAGTGAAATAAGTAATTTATGATAGCAAGGGGAGGTACATCAACTAAGAGGGGAGGTGTATCTAAAGTGGGCAACCTTTATGCAAGCTTGCAAAATATATAAAAATAAAACACATGTATGCTAAAATTGTTGTAATACACATGAATGACTTGCAAAAAAATATTTTGAACACAACTATTTTTTTATGTATAGGCATGCATTAGTGCCTACTATATATGCATAACAAAATCTAGATCAGTGCCATATATATGATTTTTGACACTATATAAATTTTATATGTAAATTTTCACTCTATATCAAATTTTTAATATATCAGTAGAGTTTAAATTTTGGGTTAAAGCATGTAGTGCACAAATTTTTCACCCTCTACTCTATAGTGATTTACTATAAGATAATCATGGAGTGGAACCATAACTCTTGGATATGTGGCCAAGGGTAGCAAAGTAGAACTTGAGTGTTAAGGCTTTGAGTGACTAAATAAAGGGACAAAATTAAATTCCCAAACATACAGTCAATGAGTGAAGGAATTAGAGCATAGGATAATTCATGAATGTACAACCTAAGGAGCAAAAGGACAAGAGTACAGAGTGATATTGGAATAATTCAAAAATATTTAATATCCCAATAATAGGACCAACATGCAAAACAAAGCCAAATAGTGTCTAACATTATTTTAGTAAATTAATGGCCTACCATAAAAATATAAATACTCTACTACATAACATAGTATGGAACTTAGGCTTAAACCCAAGCTAGATATAAAACAAAAACAAATATATAAATGAGGGGCTTAGGTTGGTCAATTATGCTCAACTTACCTACTATCTCTACTATACATTTGAAACCCCCTACATCTTCGCCCTCTATAGAGGAACACACACTTTGGGCTTTCACCCTAGTCCAAGAAGTTAATCTCTAAAACAATCATGAAAACTTATTAAATATAGAATGTATTAAATTGAAAATTTGGATGCAAAAACAACACCATTGTATTTAGGATAATTTCTACATTCTGTAAATATGCCTAACTAATAAATCTAAACACCTTCCATAAATAGTAAATAAGACTAAATAGGACTAATATATAAGACATAATAAAGAGGGTGTTTTGGAAGACATAATAAGTTATCATCTAACAAGTATTAAGGGACCAAACTCAATATCACTGGGGTTCCCAACACTAGCAAATGTAAACTAATGAATGAGTTTCTCTAACCAATTTAAATATGTTTGACTAATAACACTTAGGAATGGTGTCTTTATGCTCCTTTGGCCAAGTGCACACATGAAAACTAATTTTTCAACTAATTCAGGAAAAAATAATAAAATGTTTAGCAATATCAATCTTCTATCATCATAGCAATAAAGAAAAAATATCTAAAAAAACTCACCAACAGATAACTTTCAATATCTATAATCACATTTGAGACACTCTCCCCCCCTTAGGGAAGATCAATGTCTTCATCAATGTATACTCTAGTTTAGACCACCACCAAGGAAAAATGTTTATAATGTTCATATTTTATAAGAAATGCATAAATTTAAATGAGTTAAAGGGCAACTTTATTGCAGTGCTAGTTTATTGCAACCTTTTACTTGTGTCATAGCTTAGATTCTAGCTTGAGAGAGCATGAAGAATATTTTATATCCTTAGAATATTCTCTCATCTTTGTATATAAGCCCATAAAAGGCTTGAAGATATGGTTCCAACCCATTTTCTCTTACATTGACATTTGGTTTTGCAAGTTTATGAGCATGTGTGTGAGGGGGTGGTTGGGGCTAAGAGATGTCTTAACAACCTCTTTGTTTAACATAAATGCACTACCATTTAGACACCTTTCAAACATTCATCTTTTCACAATATCCTTTGTGTCTTTTCCTTTTTTCTTGGCTAAATTTCTCTTTTCTTTGTGAGAAAGTGACATTTGTGGGAGTGATAGTGATTTTGATTAAGGAAGTCTATGTTAGGATACTCCTTTATTTGGAGTTATCCCATTTGGATACTCTCTTCTCACACAAATTACATGACCTGGCATCATTGTTGCATATTGGATATTGTATGCCAGTTCACACTCATTCCCATCAAAGATGACAACCAGCAATCTTCCATACAGTGCTTAGGGTATGGGACATTTTCATGCTTTTGATATGAGTTAAATTATCAAATTGCTCTTTCCAAGGAGGAGGATTCATTGTTCACCACAAATACCTAGTTGGGGAGTTTGCCACCCATAGCTCTTCCTGTATAAATTCATATTCTACAGCAAGGCACCAACTTGCCATACTTCTCTAGCAATGGTGACATCTCTATCAAGATATATATCACTCACTTTTAGCAATATTGTGCATCGAATGATATTGTTGAGGATAATCACAAGCTCTATAACCTGTTGTGATCGCTCGCTAACTGAGCAGTAGTATAGACATGGCTAATTACTCCACATTCAAAGCATAATTCCAGAGTCACTTTAATCAATAGTGATCAGCAAATTACTTACTCATGGACTTGTTTTCTTTTTAGCAAGGAGCACACAAATTTATACGAAAGTATGTGATGCAATTTAGGTCTTATTGGAAGGAGTGTGTCTAGTGTAAGGTCATTACAAATGAACCTCATGGCATCACTACATTCATCTCTAGCCTCAAGGGAAATCTCCTAACAAGATGCTCAAGCGAGAGTTTTGAATGTGTTGTGAGGCATTTGCTGCAGTAGAGACTTTGGAGCGGGATCTTTTCCAAGAGTTCAAGATTTCTAGGGTAGAGGAGGCTTTTCTCCCACTCTCAAACAAGAGCTTATGTGCTGCTATGGTTCATTCTTCTCCAGCCCCACACAGCAATGATAGAGTTCCCTCAATAATTGAGAAGGCATTGTTGGAGTTTGTGGGATATAAGGAGATCATTTAGTAGCAACAACAAATGCAAGAGAAGCTGCTTGAGGAGCTTAAAG